ATTACTATCACGACAATGACTATTACTATCATGAAAATAACTTACTATCATGAAAATGACTATCATGAAAAGAAAATGATTATTACTATCACGAGAATGACTATTACTATCACGACAATGACCATTACTATCAAGAAAATGTGCAGTACTATCATGAAAATGACTTTTTATCATGAAAGGACTATTACTGTCATGAAAAGAACTATTACTATAAAGGACTATTACTATTATGAAAAGAACAACCACTATCATGAAAATGACTATCACTATCATGAAAAGCACTATTACTATCATGCAAAGGACTATTACTATCATGAATGACTATTACTGTCACGAAAATGACTATTTCTATGCCGCGATTTCATTCGCCCAGTTAATGTATACATGACAAGATAATCAGTGTAGAAACGCAGCTCTGCTAAAGTACAGTAATCGTTTTACATAGAAGTGTTGTATTTATTTTAATGATTCATTCCACGCTAAAGACACATGTAGGTACACAAGGGAATCATAAACCTAGTAGATCTCTCTCTCCCTCTCTGAATGCATTTTCAATACAATTTCAATAGTCGTTTCTGAAAATACCACATACAAAGCTTATGACACGTTTCGGTGGGTGAATTTGAATAGATGGACGTGAAGTTGTAGATCTTATGCACAATTATTTTTTTTTTAAAGATATTGGAAAAAATGCAAAGTGGAAATTGACTAGGATTCACAAAATACAATTTCTAGTTTCAGACACAATCATTAAACACCAAATTCTATATCATTTCAGAAAGCAATTTTCTTCTTTTTTGACAATCGATAGATCCTAAATTGTATATTTATGTAGCGGATGGGAATAAAGTAAATGGAAGCACTTACATTATACATTTTAAAACATTATCTCAAATATTTACAGAAATTGTTATAATTAATTAATATTTTACAATAACGTATGCAATGAAATGAAATGGGATTTGACGTTCTACCTCTCTACACAAACCAATCTGATTAAAATACAGATCTATATTTCGTTCCGTTTTTTTTTTTATAAACTTTCAATAGCCTCTACTACATGAAGATCTGGACAGTTGTAGTGGGAGGTCGCGTCAAGGTCATACGCGTACGTAACTAACGTATGAAAATTAAATGGTAGCTGGCTTTTTTTTCGCACATATAGAGTGAATGGCCATTTTGCTCAGTAACCCCAGCCAGAATTTGGCTATTTTTTTAAAATTGCGTTAAAGTTTTAAATTTTTGTTTAGAACTGAAATAAATTAACTTTTAGTCAATCCCAAAGCTAAAAACATTAACAGAATTAATTGCGTATATCTGAAATAGACACGACCGAAGCACAAAATAGTGCCAAATGCCGACGTCAAATCTAGAGTTGTGGATGTTGTTATTTTTGTGAAAAATCATTGGAAGAAGCGATAAGACGTTCTGTACGGATTATACAGTCCTAAAGGCTACAAGAAGGCTATTGTTTACAATGTAACATTGTGTCTTGTAATGTTGATAATGATCATAATGATGGTGTTTACATTTGTTTGTTGATGTGACCTCATGACCTGTGACGTTTAGATAACGTCATATGGATATCATGGCTATTCGCTGTGTCAAGAGTCACTTCTCTGCAGGTAGGGTGAGTCTGTCGTTCAGATTGGGTCATACGAGCGGGTTTTGACGTATGACGTCAGACATGATTAACCAATCAGCGTTGATGTTTCTAGTGGGTTACCCACAGTTCCATGCAGCTCACGCCAAAAACTCGCTGTAACAGACCGTTTCATTGGCTAATCCCACCCATCTCAATGGGTAAAGACAAGTAAAACAAAATTTTGAACTATAAAAAACGAAACGAAATAGGATATGTGTTTTAATCAGATTAAACACAAACGGGCTTAATGGAGACGGACATGAGCCTTGCAGCACAGACAGTGGTATATCCGCCGACTCTTCGTGTTCAGGGGTTCTTTTACGTGTACGCCAACGTATACTTGGGGATCTCGGTATTTGCTGTTGTCCCATTCGAACGACTAAACGTTAATCGTTTGCTAGGCCATCCGTCCTTCGCCACTAACAAGTCTTAACGTTTTGTGCTTTCCCTCTCATGATAAATGTTACTATCTGTTATGGAATGGGTCTCGTTATTCGCATTACATTATTGACATTACAGTATTCGCATTACATTATTGACATTACAGTATTCGCATTACATTATTGACATTACAGTATTCGCATTACATTATTAACATTACAGTATTTGCATTACATTATTTACATTACAGTATTCGCATTACATTATTCACATTACAGTATTCGTATTACACGATTTATGTTACAATTTTGCATTCATAAATAGTATATCATATTATTACGTTATTCACAGTATTTCCCTTGCATCATTACATTATAGGTTAAATTAAGATAACCAAATAAAAATAGTAACAATACGTCAATTCCGTTGCGATCCCCGTGTCCAAACGGTCTTCGATAACGGCTATATCTGTTTCTTAAGACCAACACAATTTTCCTCATGTCGCTAAGATGTAAGGCTAGGGTACGTGATTGTTGGCGAGATTGTAGGTTAGAGTTAGGGCAAGCGGTAGGGCTAGGTCCAGGGTTAGGGTTGGGATAAGTGCTAGCCCTGTTTACATCTTGTGACCTTTGGCCAAACTTGAAGTTGGACTTATCCATACTGCACGCAGCGACCCATCTACGTCATACTTCCCAGAATGTGACACTTCCCTGATTACCCACCATTTAAAATGCGCACGTGATCATTTTGGGGCGGGACTTATCGACGAGACACCGTTTTGTTTAGACAACAGAGTAAAAATAACCCCAGCACGTGTGTTTTATGTAAACACGTCATGTCGCTGAAACTCGCGTAAAAGCGATATATAATATGTGCTATGGGTAATATTGCAATAAATTCTTTACCATTGTAAACTGTATTTAGAGTTTCAATCTGTTTATCTTTCAAAACAAGGTTAGATACTCCTTAATTTGTTTTCGCAAACAAAACCGCCTCTGTGATTTTATGTTTCATGGGCGCCGCCATATTGAATAATTAGAGGACTATTTTGTGATTCGGCTTTGATTAGTTTGACATCTTTCATACACACAGCGGCTAAATAAACATATTTAATTTCATTCAATATGACAATAGAAGAGAAATAAATACTTTTAAAAATTTCTAAAAGCATACTCAGTGTTTTCGACTAAAATCGTCGATGTAGGAATTAAAATGTCGGTTAATTAGCTTAGGGCCTATTCTCAGCCGGAGCTAGCTGTAGATAGGCAGCCTAAGTTTGGGATGGGACTTATCAAATAGATCTAACCTTTCGATAACGTCATCGGCCATTTTTATGTACACAAATGACGTAATGGAGACCCGAGGAAAGTATAGCAACTTATGTCGCTGCAACTGGCTTTTTCGGGGTGGCTTTTTTCAGTTGTATTCAGCTGCAACCAGTCAGACCCAACCGCATCGCACGCAGCCATGGTAACATAGACACCCCTTAACCAATCCCTCGGTGTTTGATGTACTAAAAGATAAAACTGTGTTGAACTTTGGACCTCTTACTACTTTATATTTATCCCGTTTAATCACCGACTGACTTCTCTTCTACACGCTTCAATAATCCATAAAAAAGAAACCTTAGCAAGGCCGACAGACTCCTACAAATACCCTTCCTATTGAGATTAAACCGATGTCGTCTTTATATGGAAGCCGGATATGTTTGTCCAGTTCTCGCTCAGTCATTACTCGGCGATTCAGTTTAAATAAAAGTGTCTCCGGGTTTGGAAATGTCCACAGTCTTCGTCTTATAATTTAATCCATTGGAGAAGCTCTACGATAAAATTACCCACTCATGGCATAGAACCTGTGCAAATTGCAATTTATAATTACAGCTGATTTAAACATGAGTTAATCGATACTTGATGGTAAAGATTCGACATATATTAAAGTTATATCCTCAGTTACATGTCAATTAAACCTACTTTATGCAAGAGCTAAATCTGCCTATTGCAGGTCTTTCTTTAGGCCTGAAATGTTATAAAAACTATTAATTAGACATTTATGGATATGAAAAGACATTAAGACATTATTAATCAACTCTTGGTACCATCTTATGTGTCGGATTTTCACTGGATTTGAATCCGATCAGCTGCTCAACGCTCATTGATGATTAAATGTTTTATCTTACCGACTTTAGTAATGATGATCGAGGCTAGGCCTAAAATTCAATCGCTAATATCTCGGTTGGTTTAGAGTGGGGCAATTGGGCTGATATGTTTTAGCATATTCCCTTTACATTATCTAGTTTTTAACTATAATAGTGAGAACTGTCAGTTCTTTATCTAATCGCCCATAATGTATCGTTATAACCACTGCATATTTGTCACTATTATTGACTGGCTTTTTACATTGAAAATATAAGAAAGTTCTCACCCTTTCCTTTTCTGTTCTGTGAAGAGGTTTTCGTGACCGAGTTGTCTTAAGATGTGTTGTAGGTCGAGTTGTCGTAAGAGGTGTTGGATGGCCGAGTTATCATAAGGTCTAGCATTGAGTCACAACGGTTTCCACATCACTCTACAACTTTGGAGTACATTAACGGAAAAATTCCCGGTTGTACGTGACAATGAGTAGAGTCGCCTGTCCAACCTCGTGGGGTTTCTCCGGGTCCTCCGGTTTCCTCCAACTGCTAAAGACCCCTACGCGCAAGCGAATTATTGAAATAAAATTAAACCATATGTTAGTCCAGAAATGACCTAGTTTTTGTCGAGTGGGCGTTACCCTATCTCCCCTCCCCCTCTCTCTCTCTTTCTCTCCCCCTGTGGAGCATTACAATAACAACCGAGATAAAGAAAATAAAGTACGGAAAAGCTTAAACAATCTATAAAACATGTAAGATAGCAACGTCATAAGTAAAAACATGGCATTATAATTCAGTACTGCTCACATTATATAATTCTGATAACCTTTGCCGTTTTTTATTTTTCAGATTGATGATACCGTATTGTCCGATCAAGAGTAGAGCCGATTCAACTTGAAACAGAAGAAGACATATAGACATATAAAATAACTCAAAACGTAGAATTAACAGGTAAGATATGTTGTTATTGAAAAGGTGAGCCACCGTGAGTAGGACGTTGGCTCGCTAGCCTGGACGTCCCATGTTCAACCCCTGCGTTGGCAGGGAAAGTTCATCGGGATTTTCCGGCGAAGTTCTTTCTTCTCAGTGGTGTAGGACGGAGGATCTGGCGAGGCATAACGAATAGTTGTTCGAAACTGGAATTCGATATCAGAGTAGGCCATAGTGCTGCTTTCCGGGCAAACTTTCCCTCATAGCACACTGTGTGGCGTATGACCGTCTTGATTTACCCAGTAGGACCAGAACAGTAGGACGTTAAACCCCATTTCATTTCAGTACATTCCATTCCCATTTCTATTGTTATTAAAATGTGTTGGGGTGCCGTTAATTTCAGTTCGGATTTAGGTCATACCAATCGTCGTGCAAAAGGGGTAATCGGGCATGGAAGAGATTTATTCCATAGAATAATCAAGATTTTCACTTGGGACTCGCCAACAAAGAGTATACCCTTTGGATTTAAGAACGCGCTAAACACATTCCATTCTTATAGAAAACAATAATATAACCAATTCATGTACTTGACTGTTCTTTTTAAAATCATATTTAGTTTATTTTAACTACTTTCGTTTTCCAAAAAAGTCTGGGCTATCTAATAAACGTTTTCCACCATATGTCTAGGATTATCTCATTTTTGTCAGCTAAAAAACGTAAACATTATTTTGTTGTTGTATGTTTTACTCCCCAAACTTGATTTCGTGTTCCACAATATGTCTAGGGTTATCTAAACTTAAACATCGTTTTTTTGTTTTGTTTTACTCACCAAACTTGATTTCAATAAAGACATTATTAAAGGACACTGACGATAATGATATTTACGTTATGATATTTCAACACGTTAAGTGGTTGTTCAACTTTCCCGGAAGGCTCAATTAAACACGTATTAAAGCCATGAATATTGGCAAGCCTGAAAATATCATCCTATATATATAGACAGTTTGTTCATTTTATTTTTGATTATCCATAGCTAAATGTTCATGAATTGTTTAAAGATACATTACGGGAGATTAGATAAAGAGCTGAAAATTTCAATCAAATTATCTTAGCCGAGAAATACCCATTTTAAAAACTTTGTAGTCTCGGTTGTAATTTTTGTCGGTATGACGCCCCCCCCCTCTAAATTCTAGATTTTCAGGCTTTGCGTTTAATCATCAATAGCTGTTGAACGGTAATAGACAGGTTTGCCTTATGCATAATGTATTCTTAAATAACAGTTTTTGTATCTCTTTGTTATGAGAGAGAGAGAGTGAGAGAGAGAGAGAAATGGGATTTAACGTCCACTCGACACAAACTAGGTCATTTCGAGACTAACACATGGTTCAATCTTATTTCAGTTATTCGACTGCGCGTAGGGGTCTTTAGCAGTGGTAGGAAACCGGAGGACCAGGAGAAAACCCACGAGGTTGGACAGGCGACCCCACTCCACACGTATAACCGTGCCAATCATTGGGCCATCTAGCCCCACTGTAAAAAAGGATAGATGAGAGATGCAACGCATGTCTGTTTATAAAACAATATGGGGTTGTCACGAAGGATGTACTTGTTGTAGTAACACAATTACATCGGGAATGGCTCTTTAAAGTTTGACTTCGAAATAAGAGTAACCGTAATGTGGTACGAGGTCAATAAAATGAAATGAAATGGGGTTTAACGTCCTACTGTTCTGCTCCGACTGGGCTAATGAAGACGGGTATACTCCATACAGTGTGCTACAAGGGCACTTTTGCACAAACAACGGCTCTACGGCCTGTTCTTACTGCCAAGGGATCTTTTACGTTCACGCCAATGTGTAAAAAGGAGCTCGGTTTTTCGCTCCATCCGAACGACTATACGTTGCCCCCTTACCAGGTACCCTGTCTTGCACCACTAACAAGAGGGAACCTCACCGGAAAATATGTCATTTACACCATGGAATGTCTCCTTTGCGTAAACGGAATTTATCGGGGGATTGGGATCCACGGTGACTCAGTGAGAAAGGGCGTCAAAGTCAATCCCGATGATGACTGAGAACGCTTCCGGGATTTTTAACCGTGGGCTCCTCTTGTCATTGGTGCAGGACAGAGGCCTGGCCAGTCGAGCAGATGGTACAACATTCCGGCGTTAAAACCCCAGTTCAATTCATTTCTTTTACATCAGGGGTTGGGTGGCCAAATGGTTGTCGCGTGTGCGTTGGATTATAAGGTCTGGCATTGAGTCAAATGACACGGTTTCGATTACCCATGATAAGAGTCGATTATCCAACCTCGTGGTTTTTCTCTGGGTCATCCAGTTTCCCGTCACTGCTAATGACACCTACGTCTATGGTAGTAAAATCTCTGTGTTGAAATTTTATTTAGAATGTGTTTAACCAGTTCTATGACATATGTGATAATGGCTGCCACCAATATTGTTCCTTCACATATTGCTGTACGAGCCTCCGAGAATATTTTTAAATCGGGTTATTCTATAGGATCCCTGAGGAGTTGACGAGACGTTAGCTTCTTTCTTGTTATCTTTTGTGATTTATACTTACCCATTTACTCATCAATCGTCCATTAACAAGAGAAACTTCTGGAGGAAATAGCATCAGACAAAACACAAACCTCGTGGGGCTACAGTTAGATATTGGATAGAAACATTTGACAGATTTTTAGTTGAAAGACCGAGAGAACAAAACATGTCAGACGAGCAATGGTTGTTCTTTTAAAATCCAAACTCCGTCTCTGAAGTCTTCAAAGTATACGGCCATTGTTCGACTTCTTATCTGTAAGTGAGATAATCGAGTCGACTAGACGCGAGTAACCCACGAGGGTCAACAGTGCCCATGGCGCAACTCGTCTGAATATGATTTCATTGTTAGTTATCTAAAGCTGTTAAGTACGTTTTGCAGACGAATCGACTGTAGACAATGACGATGATGATAATTATGATAATTTAATTTCTGAAAATAAATAAACTTAGCACCACATTAGATGAATTGTCTCATTTTCAATTCTTCAAAATTGGAATATTAATCATAAGAGGGAGAGAGAGAGAGAGAGAAAGAGAGAGAGAAAGAGAGAGAGAGAGAAAGAGAGAGAGAGAGAAATGGGGTTTAACGTCCAATCGATACAAACTAGGTCATTTCGGGACTAACATATGGCTCAATTTTATTTCAATAACTCGCGTACACGTAGGGGTATTTAGCTGTGGGAGAAAACCAGAACCCTCTGAGAAACCCAACGAGGTTGGACAGGCGACCCTACTTCTTGTCACGTACAACCGGGGAATCGAAACCATGGCAGTTGACTCAACATTACATGGCGTATACGCACCTTTATTAGTTAAATAGGTATACTGTGTTGTCGACTGTATTGTTTAACGCGTCAAGCTTTAGATCATGAGGTCTGTCATTGAGTCAAGTGGTGTGGTTTCAGTTGTACGTGACAAGGTTTAAGGTCGCCTGCCGAACTTCGTGGGTGTTCTTCGAGTCGTCCTTTTTTCACCCACTACTAAAGACCCCTATGCATGAGCGAATTTTAAAACAGAATTAAGCCGTGTGTTAGTCCCGAAATGGCCTAGTCTCTCTCTCTCTCTCTCTCTCTCTCTCTCTTCCCAGACCAGACCAGTTGAGTCCGATCCAAAACAATGTGAGCATTTCCCTAGCCGGGATGAAATTATTGTCACCAAGTTATAAATGTCTGGTTAAATTCACCGAGTTCGTGTAATATCGGTTGATAGTATTAAATATGCCAGACTTAAATAAATACTTTATGGGCTTATGTCATCATAAATAAAGGCCGGCTTACATAAACAGATTATTCTATTCGACGGTCATTTCCGCTCCATGACGTGGGTTGTCTCGAAGGCTTCAGTTCAAAATGTCTGCGCTTTGACAATAACGAATATCATGCCGGCCTCACACACTGCGATTTTCACAACGATGCGATTAAATACAACAGCCTTTGATGGGATAAAAGTCGCTGCGTGTGAGGCAGCCTTTGGTACAATTTGAGCCTGTCGTTGAGGTTAACGTGTTTAAATATTTAAAATCGTGTAGTAGCTGGTCTTAAGCTGACATCACTCACAAGTATTACGTATGATCCCATGCGATAGGACAAAAATCGTGTAGTATGAAGATCTGTTCAATACGATTTTTGCTTAAACGCAATATTTTGAGCGTATCGTAAAGGTTTAAACATGTTCAAAGATTTCAAGTTGTATCAAAGGTGATCATAGACAATGTCAGTGTAAGGCCGGCTTTAGAATTAACAAATGATCTTATCATATGATCTTAGACAATATCGGCGTGGGATCGGCTTTAGTCAAGTCAAGTAATCTTATCATGCATTATCTTAGACAGTATCATGGTCTGGGGTCGGCTTTAGTCAGGACAAATAACCGTATCATAGCTGATCTTAGAGAAACTCAGTGTGAGGCTGGCTTTAGTCACGAACATGTTATCTTATATGATCTTAGAGAAACTCGGTGTGAGGTTGGCTTTAGTCTCGAACAAGTTATCTTATCATATGATCTTAGACAAGCTCAGTGTGTAAGGTCGGCTTTTGTCAAGACAAGTAATCCCATTATACATGATCTTAGACAATTCTACTTCGTGTGTCTAAATTGGATTATTATGGAAAATATTGAGTTAAAGACTTAGCTCCTTTAATACAATTTTTTTATGTATTCAGTGGTCACGCATATATCGAGGAAAATTTAGCTCTAAGTGCACTTACTCTTCATATTCCTGAAGCAATGGCCCGAGAAATCCCTCTCTGGCCATTGCTGGATTGGCTTCTGATACTTGAGCTTTTTAGGGAGTATGTCTATTCTTCCCGTTCAATTAAATCTATCTCAAGTACAGCAACATGACAACCCTTCGTAAATCTGGGGGCTTCCCCAAAACTTTGAACAGTGATTTAAGGTATTAAAAACGGTGAAACTATTCTTTGTCTCCATACAGTATTGTTTACATTGTATTCGTGTTGATAGCC